AGGGATTAAGGAAGCAAGTAGATGTGTTGTAAGTATAAAGATCCATCAGAAAAATGCCTCTTGTAACAACTTATTTCTCTTAATAGAAACCACTTCCAAATCACTTGAATTTGGCCAACTGCTCCAGTCAAAAGCTGCTGTCAGAAGTGAGGCTGCAGCACTCTTGGCTAAAGAAAGCAAAAGTTAAAAGTTTTGAATTGCTATAGTTATAACTATAAACAGATTTTTCTAAATTCCTTTTTTACCCCATCTTTCTCTCTCAATTACATGACARTAATACAACATGTCAGAAGAATTCAAAATAGAAAACAAACTTGAACACATGTTCACCATAATTTGACATTTCTTTTGTTACTGCTGCATCCAAATTAAGAGACAAGCAAAGAGATACTATTTATTCATAGAAATTTTCCATGCAAAACATTGGTTAAAGAAGAATCTAATTCCCTTTTTCCTGGCACAGTTTTATTTGAATTTACAAACATGTTTTGAATGCCAGATTTTCTTTTATAGCCACACATATTTCCCTTTAAAAATCACATTTTTTTCATTTGCTAACCTGATTATGTTGCCAGTGTCTTTTTCAACTTTGTTCTACTATTAATTTTGGAAACACAGCTTCAGAAATAAAACCATGTGCATGCTAACAGTGATGGAAAAGAATTTCAACCCACTGTTATTTGCATTAAATCATAATTGTTTCTCTTATCTACACATAAGTTTAGTATGTCTTGTTTTGTAGGGGCAAATAAACACCTTTATTTAGCTCTTCATGTAGGGTTTTATGTCCTGCTCAGTAAAGACAAATGAACAATGGAAAGTGAGAAATAGCACATTCATGAACCTAAGATCAGTATTACACTGAACTCAAGGTATAAATAGTTTTTTCATTTGTTATGATGCTGGTTCTCTGGTGTACAATAAAACTCAYCTGGGGTGACCTTTGTGCTATGGTGCACCTCTGATTATGCAGAGAAACCCAAAGCTGTTCAGCAGATTCTTATTTTTATCAACTTAATTAACATCCAGGAAGCCCACTATCAACTTCAGACAGAAAGTTCTGGAGAAAGCCTAAAAGCACATGACTTTGCAAGCTGAGAATAATCCTGGTGTACGAGAACAAGACATCCTTTAGGAAACTGGAATTTGTTCGGCAACACTGTGAAAGTGATGGTAGTAAGCACCCTCATAAGACTCATAAGTGCTCCCGAGGGCTACCAGACCTCGGCTGCAGCTCAGCGCAACTGCAGCGCTGACGCATCTCCATGTGCAGTAGCTATTAAGGAAAAGATTTTGTCATTTTTTACTTAGATCTATACACACGCACACACACAAAACCAGATACATACACACATTCACAGAGCCACAGGACTGCGGCCCTACTTTGAAACAGAGACCGGCAGCTCTCCGCGGAGACCCAGGTGCTGCGGACGCCTCTCATTGTCCCGCCCGGAGTCCCGGGAGGACCGAGTGGCAGCTCCCGCCTGGGCTGCGAGACGCAGCACGAGAAGAAGCAAAGGGAGAAGGGAGCGATCCAAGAGAAGAGCAGGGCGGGAACATACTCAAGCGGACAGGCACCCACTGATGACTAAGCTGCCCTGGCTGGTGCCCAGCTCAGCGGGCCAGAGAAGCGCGTTGGACCGCGGCAACCTTCCAGGGTTTCCCTCATGACTCAGTGACGGAGGAGCATTCCCCGAAAACAAGCACGCCCCCGGCCGGGGCTTCCGCAGAGATCCCGGGGCACTTTCCGTGAAACACTTCAGCAGGGCCAGGGAACAGCTGATGCCGAACGTGACGGCCGGAGAAAGAGCTCCGGGGAGCGAGGGAGGGAGCGGAGCCATGCCTCCTTTCGGCCCGGCATCCCGATAGCCATTGTCGGGSTCAGACTGGCCCCCGACGTCCCCCTCATACCAATACCCCGTGCCCGCGGCAGCCTGTCGTTTGCCGTCCTGAACATTCCAAGCTCCATTGCCCGGGACAGCTCGTCCCCCGCTGTCCCTGCATCCCGATCCCCAGTGCACGGTGCAGCCGACTGCCCTGTCAGCTAGACTGTCCCCACGGCCGAGCAGGTGCTCCTCGCTGCGGTCCCCGCAGACTAAGCAGGGGAACGMGCTCCTCCCGGGGAAAGTGGTTTGTAACATAAAACTTTCACCTTCTAGAGAAAAAAAAAACCCGCAACTGTAGACGGGGATAGGGAAACTACTACTGTGCTCCAGCCGCTCCCGTGCTATCGTGTTAAGATGATGCACTAGAGATGTCCCTGCGAACTCACTGTGGAGGGTATGCTCGTCCACCCCCGGGCAGACCCTCTGCACGTGCCCTGAAGCATTTTTTTATTCTCGCCTTTAAGAGAAAATCGGGTGTCACTGCAACAGTCCACGCTGAAGGTTCTCCCCGCGCGAATGTGGAGAAGGCTAGTCACACTTGTTTCATGCAAGATTGTTTGTTGCAAAGCTTTTGTGCTTTCTTTTGTTTTGGTTTGGGTTTGGATGATGCCTCTGATTATTATTCGTTATCCCGGTTTTATTTTCGAATCAGTGACACAGCTTCATGACTGAGTAATAATTATTTACAGTCTGGAAAGAGGTGCAAGAGAGTCCAAATGAGCCCCGGTTATGGAATTGGAAACCTTTATTTCCGTAGGCGTACAGGTACATATATGAAGCCAGCAACGATCTGAAGTCCGGGAGGAGCAAAACAACGTGTAAAGACACCATGGATAATCACAACGGTAACCAACCAGTTTCTCTAGTTCTTCCGAAGCACGGGCATCCCTTTCTTCAGCTGTCTTCCGTGCCTTGTCGGGTCACATAGCGGTGCAGGAGAATTAACCTTTGGCTTTTTCTTACACAGTCCTTTGTAGCTTGATCATCTTTCTTCAGATCGCCTTCTTACCGCGGGGATCCACCTACAATTTCAGCCTCTGTAACCACGGCAAGATACAAGAGGATCTACTAAACGTTTTGGATGCAGACATAATCTTTACACAAGAGGTTGGTGCTTTCTCTAGTGGCATCGGAGGGAAATTGTCGGGACGGCACTGCCTCCACGTTTTTACCCCTGACCACAGGCAGTTACTTTCTGAAAATCTCAATTAGAAAGCCGGGAGTTGGATAGTTTAGTTACCGGTACCTGTGAAACAGAACCTTGAAGTTATGTCCAGCTCTCCTCCGGCGACCTGCCTAAAATGTGCTTCGCTGAAGCTGGRGCTCGCAGGGACGGAGAGCTGGAGCCCGGGCGGCCGCTGCCAGAGCTCTATCCGATCATTCCCAGTGCCTGGCACAACCGTAGGACTGAAAGTCGCTTGCATAATGCTTCACTGACGTTGAAGATGGTATCACGGTTGCAAAGGTGATTTAGTGATTTTAGAAGCTACGCGGAGGTCTCACACGCGCAGCCGGCCTTTAGTGCMAAGACCAGACAGTGTTTTTCGGGGAAAGCAGCCCTGGCGCCGGCTCGGGCATTACAGCCCGGAGCTGCCCAGAGCAGACCAGCACCGGCTGCCCTGCACGGCCGCCGCCCGACTCCCGCAGCCGCCCACACCCTGCGAGGCCCCGACGGGGCAGCGCCGAGCGCCGAGGCACGAAGGATGCCTATAACGGGGTGCTCGAGGCGGGCGGGCAGCCGGCGAAGGTGACCTCATGGGACGTGGCTTTAACGGGCATCTCCTCTTGTTTTTTCCCCTCTACAGGAGCTACAACTCGATTTTCACACTTGCGAGGACGCGCCCTCCGAGCCGGCGGGCACGCAGCAGTCCGAGGTTCGCCCGGGTGCGCGCACTCCCCGGCGGCTAGGTGGCATTCCCTTCCCCCCTGAAAAAAAAAAAAAAAAAAAAAAAAAAAAAAAAAAAAAAAAAGAAGAAGGCGAAAGGGATAAGAAAGGGAGAGAGGGGTATGGGGGGAAAGGAAGAAGAAGAGAAAAGGGAGGAGAGGGGGCTAAAGTGAGGGAGAGGGGAAGGCAGGAAAAGAAAGCGGAGAGGACAGGATGGGAAGCGAGAAGGGGTGGACGGGCAGCCTCTCTTTAAGGATACATGGGAGGCGCTGAAGGGAAAAGGAGAAAAGTGTGTGACCAGGCGTCTGCTCGCAGGAGTCCCGGCGGGCGGAGCGAGCGGGCCGGCTGCTGGAATGCCTCCTGGAGCGGGCGCACGGATGCGGGGAGCGGCTGGAGCTGTGGCGCGTCACCCGATCCATCCTGCGGCACCGCTGCCCCGGCTGCTGCGCGTCACWGAAGGGTACGGGGACAGAGCAGCGGGACGGTCCCGGGGACAGCGCTGGGAGCGTCGCCGGAACGCTGAGTCCAGCCCCGTGCGACAAGAGCAAAGCCCGGGAGCTGATGGCGGTGTGGAGAAGCTACAACAACTTGGGATAGGTGGCCTGSGAGTGGCGCGGCTTTTAATTCTGGCTCCTCCGCCGGACTTCACTTGCATTGTCCGCCACGCAGTCATAGCAACGGAGTCATCCCGCGGGTTGGTATTTTTTTTAATACCCATAATTTATTA